GCGATTGCCGAGAGGTTAGAACTTGATCATGCTACAACCACTATCCACAGCTGACTTTGCCAGCTTTGTTCAGGTCCAGCATTAATGATCATCAATCCCGACCACCGGCACTGGCTGTGAGAGAAAATCACTGCCGACAAACCAAAAAGAATTCCACCGGTTGTGTGTGTGGGTCTCAGAGAGCAGATTATCACATCAACCACATCAACCAGTGCGCCGTTGAGGCCTTTGTGAGCGGAGCAAACTCACAGTAGCCCGAGCGCCCAACATCAGCACCAAGCATCTTCCAGCTGCCCGTCGGAGCCAGTTCTGCGCCAGAACGCGCAGAATCTACCGCAGCGTGCCCGGATGTAGGACGCCGAGCGCCAGCAACACGAACACCCATCAAAATTGACAAAATTGAATTCTAGGGTGCAAGTTCGGAAGTTTGCACATCATGCCAGAAAGGCAGGGCTTCCGAAAAACTCCGTGCAGCCTAGAGCTGCTTCACTTTCGCGCTCGCCTCTTCTTGCCACGCGAAGGGAAATCCGCTGGATTTTCGCTGGAGGGGACAAAGATAAAATGCAGCTGAAGATTTCCAGCCATCGCCAGAGAAGCGACCTTCCGCAACAGCCTGTTCAACTGTGAAGATGACCTCCCTTTCGCGGCCGCGCCCAGAAAACTGCAGAGTCAAGCAGAACAACAACTCTTGTCGAGCGGTGCTTGGTGGACCGCAGAAGCCACTTCAAGAAAAGCACGAATGCCTCACCTTCCAGGACGTTGATGTGTGCATGAAATTTGGAGCGAAAACTGAAGATGTCGGAAAAGTGCTCAAGCTTCAATTTGCAAATCAGAATCATGGCCAAGTAGCGTCCCCCCGGCACATCCAGAAAGTATCCGTCAGTCAACCCCAACACAGGTACCACAGAGCGCGTCGTCAACGTCCTTCTTAAGATTTCGGACTGCGCATCGTGCATCCATAGCTGCATCGAAAGCTCTTGCTGCTTCACAGGTGGCACCAGGGCCAGCGTCGCTGAAAATCATGACATCATCGGTGGCCACCGCAGCAACAAGCTCAAACGATGTAGGTGTCACGCAATCACAAGCCAAGAGAGATGAAGGTGGTATGCCAGCATCTTGACAAACACTCAGCATCTCTTCTTGGGCTATGTAAGAAGACCAAGAAAATCCCATAGGCCAGACGCAGTGCAAAGGATATAGCAAACCTTCGCGCCAAGCATGTCCATCTTCCATGTGCTGCCGCTGATCCGCCACTGACATTCCAGCATTGACAAGTT